TTTCAGATAATTTAAGCCATCTTTACACTCATCATTCATAGATAACTTCCGTGTGTCAGTTGGTCCACGCAACCTGCCTGCCGACAACATCAAACTGAGGGTGGGAATAGAAAAGGGGGAGGATTAAAGTGTGCGGAAAGGCTGTCTGCTGCAGCTGCAGTCTTGAAGACTTGATTGCAGCTACAACACCGGGAAGTGTGAAGGGATATCGCTTTAGGCACCAGAAGTAATGAAAATTAGCTCTACTGTCAGCAGTCGTGTAATCATTCTCTAGATATTAAAGAGAGATAAAGAATTGAATTTCTCCAACATACTAGATACCACCACTTGCTGACTAGAATAGTTGCAAAGCAGAAGGCCGTAATGCACCTTCTAAAGAGGCGGATTGGGACATATACCGCCCAATCACAAATTGCAGTCTTCTAAACCGACATCAATTCACATAGACCTCTTCAACTGAGTCTCTCTCGTGTTAAGGACAGACACGAACTTGTTCAAAAGGTGGTGATGTCAGTTTTTGGACAAGTAGGTTAAACGACTGCACGATGATCAAGGTTACTCTACTTTACCATAGGAAAGGAGATGACCTAGTAACTGTGACACAATTAGCTATCCACGGAACCAGTCCATTAGGGCAACACCATCAGCCCACGATCTTCAGTTTCATGAGAGTCTAACATGCATTGCCTACCAGATAGTTAAGATGAGGGTTCGACTTAGTTCATTTTTCAGAACAAACCCACTACGGAACGTCGTTCTGAATGAAGTGGCAGTAACCTACTTAGCTGACTTATTCAGGAGAATGCTCTACGAAAAGATTATCACTAGTTTTTGTCACACTGGTTTTCTCTTCTTCCTTCTTTTGTTTTCAGCTCACTCTTAGTCCCACACCCGATCTTCCTCATGACATAAATTAAGGACGGAAAGCGCAAAATATCAGTTAATTTTATCTGTGAACCCATAGCACCAGTCTGCAAAATTCTTAAGAGAAATTTGAGCAAATGAGCATTGTATCCAGAACTTTATGCAGACAAGAACTTCTGAGACTAGGGAATAAGCAAAACCCGACGAAGAAAAGAAGCTTAGGAATGTTGACACAATGATTCAACAACTTGAAGTTTACTGTTACTGCAGGAAAGGTGTAGTTGTTTGATGTACAAATGTATCTGAGTTTCATCACATAAATATGAAAACATAATAAATTCCGTCTCAATAAATTCACGTTAAGGAGCATATATTAGTAATAAAAGTCCGTTTCAATCCATACTTTTGGCCTTTGTTTGTCTGATAAGATCTTAAATCCAGTTTCAACTTGAAAACAATTTCGAGTTGACTATCACTTAACGTGTCGCGTATAGGTTATTTTGGTTGACTGTTATAATATGGTTGAAATAACAGTTTGCATCAATGATAAGTGAGGAGTCTCAAAATGTTCACTGGTTACTGTAGCAATTAAAGGCTATTCATTGCCTTAAATTCACTCGTAGTTCACCATTTGGTGAGCTAGCATTCAAGCAGAATTTCTGGACTTTGCCCGTTCATCCCTCATACATATACGGTTTCAATAGACTATTTGGTTTTTCTATTTTAAGTGTGATTGCTATGAATGTTACCACGGATTTCCTTACTTTTATGCGCTTGTTAATGCTCATGTAGTAGTTTCATTCTGCGATAATTTTTTAGGAACTCTCTGAAGTTTCTTACTTTTAGTCATTTAAATACACCATGAAAACTTAAGTTATGTAGTGATAAGCACATGCATTTTTAATAATTTATTGTGGTATGTTTGCTTTTATATAGTTTTCTGAGGGTTAAACGTTTTAATGAGAAGTGGACCCCTAAAAGTTTCTCAAAAATACTAAAATACTGAAATGACTATCTGGTCAACTTAAAACCAGTCCAGTTTAGTTGGTCAGCAACGAAAGAATCCGAAAGATTCTCAATACACGTTTTGGTTGGAGCTGTACCGGAATCAAAGCTATTTCAAAACTACTAACTTCAGAAAGAGGAAAAAACAGTTTATGTCAACGAAAGTGAATCTTATGCCCAATTTTCAGATTTGTTGAACTCTTCTGCGTCGTCGTTTATTTGGATCATCAAAAGTTTTGAGCTGATTGGATTTAAGTGAATTAACAGGAGTCTTTGGACATGCTAGATGATTCTGCTCTTTGTGTGTCTCGTTCTATCTTTTGGCGTGTGCTGTAGCTAATCTTAGTTCGCAAACATAAGTTTAGTTACTAAAAAACAAGAGAATTTCACCGCAGTCTAAGCATGTTATGTTTTGAACATTGTGTGTATCATAAATTCTCATTAGATTTAAATATTTTCTGTGCTACTGAATTTTTGACTGAACAGTATTTTTGATAAAAAAAATTAGCCTGTGTTCGTATCATCTGATTTCTGCACCAATATTTGTATTGTGATGTTAGGACTCATAAGGAAAATTCTAAGTTACAATGGTATATTGTGTTAGGTTCAAAATCTACGAACATATTCAGAAGGTAAAAAGCTAACAGACTTCAATGATACCTAAGAAGTTCTAATTCTTATTTTTCTGCAATTAACCTTCAGTCCTTTAGCAGATTGTTTTCTTCATATTGTGACAAATTTAGTCAGTATGTTCAAAAGTTTGTTCCTGATATCATACGAAAACAAACAAAATGCTGAGCAGCTGACATATTTTTATAGAAGACGTAGCATATGAACTGAAACAGATCCGAATGTTTCAGTGACCCTTTGTTTTCAGCATTGGCTGTGGCAGAATTTTTATGAATTTCAAAAGGTTTTGAGTGAAGCCTGAGGAAAATTGTCCTGCAAAGATTATCTGAAGGACAAATCAGACAAAATACACATTATTTACCTCTATAGCACCGGAACTGTGTATCTGAATTATATGCACCTAGGATTGAAAGTTCAGACCGTTTGAGGACCTTTGCAGCATTTATTTGCATGGATAAGTATTATCTTTTTATGTAGTAAGGATGCAATAAGTATTATTGCTTGTGTGACTAGACACTACATGTACTCCATCACTTTTTGAATATTATACAAGGGATTTTCTACCTGAATGGAACTTAAACTAAAACTATTTTAAAAATCAAGTATACTGTTTGGATATTTGGATTAGTTTTGGGACAAAATAAATTAATATTGATGTCATTTTCATGAAATTAGCGTTCTTTAAAATTCATTTCATCTGAAAAAACATAGGCTTACTATGTTTAAATAAACATGGCATCAAATTGACTACTGAAACTAGAAAGAGGGATCAAAATAGTGGAGACCAATCATCATCACATTCAGTACATATAAAAGTCTTATTTGTTTGTTGTGTTGTCTAACTTGTATATTATATAGTCATTCTAACTGTGGTTTAATGAATAGTTACTAGTGTTCGGTTGTCTTTATTTACAGTATTACCTTCACATTTTGAGTCATATACGTTGATAGTATGTGTTAAACTTATGATAGCCATAAATTTATCAAAATTAGAATGTATTTGTTCTATCGTATGAACTATTTGTTGAACATTTTTATTTAGTTTATCCACCATTTTACTTGGGACAGACTTTCAGGTAAGGAAGTTGCAAAATAGATAAGTCTTCCGGAAATAAAATGAAAAAGTAGTGTAATGAAAGTCCCAAAGTACTTGAATTCTGGACCCGGATTGTTATGGTTGCATAACCTATAATGAACCTTAGGCTTGGTAGGTATTGTTTAGCTGAATATTTGATTTTTAATTCCCTTCTTTCCATTTAATGATAAGGAAAATTTTCTGTTCATATGCTTTTCATCTACCGTGTGATCCAGAACCGTCTTACCTATGCATCATATCCTGTATGGAAATGATAAAAGTCTGTGGTCAACTATCATTTAAAAATGGTTTAGAATTGGTATTAGTGGTGTCGGTATATTAATTTCTTGTCGATCTTAAATTTTTGAACCTTTTGTCAACCTGCAACTATGTATTTGATCTCTTAACATACAATGTGTTTCCATTATAATAATATTTTTTTATTATTTCCCTCCTTCATTCGTACCATTGCAAATTTTTCAAGTTTAACCAGTATTTAGAAAAGGACTGATTGAGCGAAAAATGTATTCCTTTTCAATAAGGTCTTCATCTCGGGCTGTACATCAATATATAGTTTTACAATTTAATCAAATTACCGTAACGTGGTGGTTTTAGAAATACAGACGAAAATAGACAATAGTTACTAAAATTGAAAGTATGAAGCAGGCTATTCTTTAGTAAACAGAGCGATTTTTGATGGGTGCTTAGTCATTCACAATAAGCGATTACGTAGTAATAAGAAAACAAATGATTAGCTGATAGAAACAAGAAAGGAAAGAGGTGTTCAAAGTAATCCTAGAAGTTACATCATGTTGACGGCCACGGTAATGAATGTGGTCGAACAAACTTCTTTTGAACATAAAGGCTAGGTTTGTAAAGGTGGATTGCACTCACCTATGCTATGTGAAGTAAGCAAGTGCGTGATCCATGTGGTAAAGTAACTGGAATCTGATAAATAAATTGAAAGCCTTATTAGCATCCACTTGATGTCTGGTGTCAACTAGGTGTGCAAGTATGGAGTTCTTTATTGTTTTAATTTGTTCCTTTCTCAACTATGGTGGGTGGTGCTCAGATAGACTTCTGCGAATGATTCTAGACTGATCTATTAATCTGTGTATCACTTAGAAAAAACCTTTTGAAAAAACTAGAAGCTTAATATTCGGTTCAAATAGTTTGTACCTTATCACTTCGCTATCGACGTATGAAACACTATAAGGTGATCAACAAAGGTAAGGGTACTTGATGAACTTCTCCAAGCCCTAAACTGAAACGCTTTCCCTTTTGTTTACCAGTCTGGAAACCCATTTATTGTTATTTAAACTTTTAATACACTACGTTTGATGACTGACTGTTACATTCATATAAAATTATATGAACTGGTTTCCATTTTTGTAGCCTTACTTGATATAAATATTCTTTCCAAGAAATGAAACCTGAACATTTTATTTCGGATATCCTTTTACCAAGTGAAGAAGATCCGGATCTTTTCGATCCAAATTGTGACCCTGAAAATCCAAGAGTTCTGACATATGAAGAAGTTAAAGCTGCTAAGGAACGTATAAAGGATGGAATAATATGCACACCCTGCAAAGTAATAATTATGCACCAAAACATTATAATCGTTCAATTTGTTGAATAGAAATCTCATCTATCATATAAATATAATATGGAAATTTATTTTAAGGAGGAATTTTTGCAAGTAACTGGAAGGTAAATTTTAAAATATTTTAAAATCACATCTTTCAATAACAGCTTCAAAGAGAGAGGAGCTCGTAACGCCCTACTTCAATTAACACATGTGAGTAACAGTTTTCCCATTGTTTTTCATTAATATCATTGCGAAAGTGCCTCCTTTTACTCCAAAAATTCCAAAAACTACATATCTAAAGTTACTTTAAAATTCAGTGAAATGAACCACAGAAGTTGCAAATTAGAATACACTAAACTTGATTTCATTGTAGCTAAGAAGCCATAAGAAATCTAATGCAGTAATGCCGATCTTAATTTTTGTAAATCGAACTCAAAAAAGAATACTTAATACAAGTATGATATCTCACAGTGGGAATAGTCGACTATTCAATGCTTAGTTAAAACAAGATATTTCTTGTCTGATTTTTTCAGTGGTCTTCTGACTGATATTAGGATATAATATGAAGTAGTCTAAGAAATATGTTTCATATGATTCTGACCTGTAACGCACTTTCAGGAAGGTGAAGTGATTCCATACTCATATATTCCGTCAAAATGAACCCATGTTTTTACTTATTTGAAATATATATATATATATATATATATATATATATATATATATATATATATATATATATATACCAGAAATGAAACTGGTAGTTCAAGAAGACTTCATTAAATGCTGAATTTGTAAGTAATCATTGTAAAATTACTTACCTAGTTCAAAGGGAAGTTTGCAGAAGTTAGCCGAAGAATCAGCGCTGCATATTTTAAATGAAACACATATTGCTTTATCAGCTGAATGTTATTTGTAAGCTAGGTTACTACGTACATTTTACTCGATATGTATCAGTGAAATATACGGATCGAAAAGTAGCAGTAATAACAAGACATTAAAGCTAAAATTGGCTAGACTTAAGCTCTCTGTATTCATCTTGATGACTCGCGGTAGAATCCAGGAGGGGGGTTTCGTCTTAGTTGGTTGGTTTTTATTGATTTTTACCATGTGTTGTTTATTATAATTTGAAAGTGAGTAACAGCTGCAAAAATGTGCATATCACGATATCTCACTTGCTTTTGACTTATGACTTCCTACCTGTAAGTAGAACTTTGCCACAATTTTAAATCCCAACCACTAAGTGGTACTTAGTGGTTGAATATCCTCCGGCGTTACTACAGCCTAATAATAGAAGTCCGTCTTTTATGCAAGTATTTGTTCATACTTATCTATTTCATAGACCCTTCTTTGTATTTTAGTCTTAGAACCCAGTGTAAGCTTATGAGATTTAATTTAGAGTATTTATAAATAACGAGTCTGTATTTCATATTTAGGAGTGCGATTTAGACTTGTCTGCTACTTTCATAGCTATGCAAAATGACATGCTTTGTTAATGGCTAAGATAGAGGTCACTTTATCTGTTACTGTGGTTAGAAAAGATTTTTCTTAGGTATCTATTACTGCTATATGATAGTGATTAATATCCGGAAGAAGCTTCTCGTCATATTCTTACAAACCATATTGCATACAAATAATATGTACAATTACAATGATATTAAATTACTTGGTCATTGATGAAGAATGGTATCTTTTGGTTGAAACAGAATCCTTGCTTTCAATTTGTGCTTAATGTTTTCTGAAAAACTTAACGTCACTAGATTAAGCTTGTATGTATTCATGTATGTTCATGTCAACATAAAGGTAAAATTATGCTTTTCTAAAGAATTAGTTATTGTTTTCCTTACTAACTTGATATCTTTTGAAATTTCTGATCTATGTATACCAAATAATCCACTAACTGTTATTTGGATGATAACTGTTTAGTAGTGGCTGGCAGTGGGACCCAGGAAGTCTATTATCCTAGTAGAAAACGCTCTGGTGTTCGAAGTGATTAGTCCTGTGCCCAGGTCTGAGGAGGAACATCATCGCTCACTGGAATGCTGACACATTTAGTTAATGAGTTCCAAATGGGAAGAAACACTATACCTGGACTCCACTGCTACACATCACCAAGCAGGTAACATCCGAACGAAACCTGAGGCAATACTGAGACATCTGTTCTAACAGCCCACATATTAGCACAGGTCGATCGATTTGATCGAGTATAATTACGGGAAATTATAAGCGTTAATAGATAGCTTATCTTTGTTTTACTTAGTCTTTTTCTAAAAACTAAAATCTTTTATTTAAGGATGAAGCTAAACGTGGAGTTATTGCATGCAGTGCCGGAAATCATGCACTAGGCTTGGCATATCACGGAAAGTTACTGAATATTCCAGTGACCGTAATTATGCCTGTTAATGCCAGTGTAATGAAACGTGAACTCTGTCAAAGTTACGGTGGTCGTGTTCTGCTCAAAGGTGGGAATATGTCTGAAGTAAGTGCAAACAATAAGATGTTTTATACTGTATTTCATAAAAGCATTCTGATACACACTACTACCCAATTCTCCCTTTTGCTGGAGATTAAGATTTCCTTATATCAATTTATGAATTTCAAAATGACCAACACTGTTTAACAAAAATCAAATATTGATACCACTTTCCAAACATTTATTTGTTTGTTTCATGTCCATTGGTCCAAAGACGTTAAAGTGTACAACAAGCGATATTTGTATTTGTCCATTTGTTTTAATTTCATCGTACAGTAGACGGCGTTATTATTCAGTCAAGTATGTACAGGTGGATAAAAGCGACCAAAGGAAACATTCTCATCTCATCCAGCTTCGAGCTTGCATTTGTGAAGTACTCTACAAGTCACTCACCCACAAAATTGTTTTATTACCTATATTTTATGCACAATTCCATCCATACATGTAGTGAGTATCGTTTCATTATTACCTTATTTGTTATTACTACGTAATTTTTTCTCACCCACTTATCATTTTATTGATATTATTCTCACATGTTTACGTAACCACTCCTACTTATTTCTTATCTCATCTCACTCACTCATGAACATTTTTCACCTTGCCTCTTATAATATTTATCTCCTTTGACTGAATTTTATTACTTTACTTAGACTCCCATTGTGTCCTGAAATGTAGTGTTTTGTTTAGTTTTTAACGCACTAGCAGGTATCTTGAAATGTTCCAAACAAGGTTTGTTGATCTTCGCTATAATGATCATGTATTTACTCAGGTTGTATGCAGCTGACGGAAATCCTGTGAAATAAAGTGACGTCAAGCTCATTAAGAGAAATGAATCCATATATCTTTTTTTCGTGACATATTTACCGTCTGCTTATAATAGTAAAACAATTACTACCCTCTAAAATAATTCCGCAAAGCTAGAGAAATGTGACACAGAAGGATGTTTACTTCAGTTGATAGTGAATTTCTGGATTATTATCTCCAGTGCTCAAATACAATCTCCGTAAGACTTGTCTTTATGTATCAAGCTTGAATATTTCTTGACAGAAGTTTAAACTTTTGTCTTCAGTTACAGCTGAGGTTCATAGTCGGCTTTGTGAACACGCACTATTCGGCAGCTCTCAAGGGCATTTTGTTTCTATAATACTTTGCTTATGTCCTAGCCTACATCGATCCTTGACTTTAAGGATAATAAATTAGCCTTTCTTAATGGACCCCTTTTTACTACAATGTTTCATCTATCCTTTGGATGGTGCTAAATGTTTTTTGAGACAGAGATAGTAGTAAAACCCTAGATAAGTATTTATGTATCTAGAACGTTTAGAAGTAATTGGCCAGTTAGCATAACCATAGTTTTTCTCCTATGAATTTTGAATCAACATTGACGATAACCAAAATTCTGCAGTATCTTATAAATCTAGGTTACATTTATCTGAATTGTATATTGCTTCTCACATATTCAATTATCACGCAAATTTTACCGAGTGAAATCTAACCCTTCATTTTTAATTATAGTTAGTCAATTTGTAAGAAACTTTCATAAATAGTCAATTCTGAGTCTTGCCAATTTTAAGGTAAAAAAGTTGAAGTCAAAAATGGAATAATTATCACAGTATGAGCGACAAATCATCAGGTGTATTTCAAGCAAGGAATGTATTTATCAGCATAGCATTCCTAGTCGTTTTACAGTATCTCGTAATTCATAGGGAGTTCATCTTTTCTTTTTCAGTTTCTGCTATTTCTCAGTGTATATTGTAAGAAATAACTTCGTCTACCTTTTTTCACGTTATTGATACAATGTTGTATCATAATTTGGGATTGATACGACATCTTCATCTCTCAAACAGTTAATGGTGATATATTTATTGAGGTGACATTTGATTACGTCGAAATATAGGGAAGCTTTACTTTCTGTCTTCCCAAGGAATAAATAGTTTTGTGCTATGTGTACTGTTATGCTTAGCAAATAACCTCATGGTATATTCGTCAGCTGCAAATACTTCCCTACATTTATAGATGGTTTTTTAAGCGGGAATTATTTAGTGACGGTATGCGTTTAGCCACATATATAACTGTGAGACTATTTATATACAATGATGGCACTATCACTTTATTATTCCTGCGGTGCCATAGCGTATATTTTTGCGCTGCTGAAATCCTTAGTTCGTGAGTACACGACTTCATAATACAAGATGTGGTGGTTTGGACATATTTTACGCATGCCATTCCACTGCTTTCCATTTCGATTATTGTATGTTTGTTACTAAGGTGACCGGTTGGAAGAAGAAACGGGAGGTATTGTGTAATAGATAACAACTGTGTTGGGTCATCCTCTCCTTGTTCCTAACGCCTTTTTTAGATGCCGATATTCAAACCGTGTGAAGCAGTGGCTTGAGGTTATTTGAAATGTTCCACAAAGTTAACGGTGGTATTGAACATATTGTACCTATTTTACTTTATTTTTTAATGGCAATACAATAGAGGATAAAAGGTTGTTGAATGTACCTTGTAAAAGAAACTTTTTTGCTTCCATAATTTGCTCATTTGGTCACCTCTTATTTCCCCTTGCTAGTGTCCCAGTGTTGTTAAGCAACCTTAACGTCTGTTTTCATAGGGGTCGAAATTTGTTTATTTAACTGAAAACATGAATCTGTTGGAATCCTGTTTAAACCGCTTAATTCCAACAACTTCCATAGAAGGCTTCTCTTCAGGGTTGCTAATTCAAACTTCTCCTTCACCTAAGTTATTATCAATTTCAACATCTGTTTTTTCAGTCTTTAAAAAGTTGTAGGAATTCTGTCATGTGAATGGCAGCCTGTTGAATATCCTTAAACTTTCCTCAGTCTTATTTCCTTCACATTTCTAAAAATCAATTCGTCGTTGCAGGAAGTTGGGCTTCCAATGACCCCAGAGTTGATTCCATGAAACAGAGGAGCACAATCACCATAGTAAACCCATAAACCTATAAACAAATCAGTGGGATATGTACCTAATTTCTTAGGCCCCGCATAACTGTAGTTTTTACTGGAGGACATAATACAGAAAGAAAGCGGTGGAAAAATGATAAGTGAATACTGAGAAGTCCCTAAGGCAAGAGGTAAAATAACATAGACACACACAGTGCTTATTTCCATGAAAAACTCAGGCATCGCCTACCACAAGTACAAAAACTGACATATCAGTAGGAATAAATATCCAAGAGTCAAGCTGAACAATGACACTGAGTATGTTGATTTATTAGAGAGATGGACCACATAAAATTTCTGAGAATGTGTGACTTCGGTGAGTTTCTAAGAAAAGAAAAGGAACACTGGATCACAAAAATGTCATCAAAACGATGAACTTGAACGCCACATACTTCGTCACTGATATTGTTAGATGTCCCACAACCTCAAAAATGTAGTCACTGACAATCACAGTGTAAGCGGGAGACCCTTCTAACCTGTTGGCAAATGGACAGTATGGAACATTCAAATCATGTCTCAAATCTCCTCGAATCGTTTATTAAAGAAGAGTGTGTACGTCAATCTTCAGTTTACATGGTGGTTGGTAGTAACGCAGTATGAGGATTCGACCTAATAACCACCTATATGTTGGTTATTGTGCGTTCTTTTGCAGTATTATCATACATACTTCTGGATCAGTTTTCAAAGTAGATAACTGACGAAACTCTACTAACGGGAACATTCATACTACACCGACTAGACTGACACTGCACTCGATATTTCGACCATCAAGTGGGTTGCACTAATTCATGTCTTCCGACATCCAACCAAATTCTTCGAGTCATTGAAGTTATGTAAAACAGCAGTATAAGGAGACTGAACAAGACTGATTTTTAATTGTGAATGTTCACTCTGAATTGTCTCGTCTGTCTGTACTCGGCTGACAGACACGATGATAAATAGTGAGAACAGATTTTCAGTACTCATCAAGTACATTCACCCTCACACTCATACAACACATTATAAAACTGAAGCAATGGGATTGATCTATGAATAATAATACATTATAGCTGATATGAGAGAGAGAGAGAGAGGGAGAGAGAGAGAGAGAGGCAATCTTATCACTACTTCCTCTGATACTGAATGCTAAATCCAATTTTGCTTTTTGTCTCTTTCCTTCCTGGATTTCAAGAGCAAACGCTATGCTCTAAAGTTGGCAAAGATGAACAACTTGCCTCTCATAAACGGGTAAGTTAATAGTTCTCATTAACTACAGCAGTAAATGCTTCAATTAAAAGTCGAATTTATTCGCTTGATTTGTTTCCGGATTTCGTTAGTTTCTGTCCAATGTGTAAGCATACCAGTACTTTGAAGTATCAGAACTGTAATGGGATAGATAGATTTCACATCAATCTACTATTGAGCAATGACACTTTCCCATCAGAATGAAATGAACGAATTTCAGAAATACCAATCGTTGGTTTTCTAAGTAGTGATTTATTCTTCATGGGATCACTGCAGTTCACTCCTCATCGTATAACAGCATTTTCACTTTTCCAACTGAAAAAGTAGGTGTTTATCTCGTTCATGCTTTAAAACTGTTCAAATGACGTCATATCATGATTTTACTAGGCGTTGGCAGATCATTTCCATTTGAAAAATAGCACTATAAGTGAAACCTGTAGGATGGTGAAATCGTCCAATGTTGACGATAACTTTCTGAGTCAATCGTTAGCTTCTTGCATCATACGTTTTCGTCTATTGCTTGAACCTGCTTCCACCAATTTTTATATCATGTACACTGATACTTCAGTGAACACGCTTTACAGACAGATAGAGAGAGACAACAGAGTCAGGCAGGATAAAACTTTGTATATAAAGATATCAGTTCGCATTATGCTTCAAAGCAGTACACAGAGAGGAAGCGGTTGTAAAAAGGATGATGTTAAAGTGAATACAAGTGAAGTTAGAGGGTAGAAAGATTCAACGAATTTAGGCCACTGGAATCACTAAAACCTCTATGGGGAAGAATGGGTACATCTGTGTGATTCAAATCGATTCCAAGCCATGTCCAGGAGAATCTGCGACTGATTACTTCTAACTTCTTGAGGAATCAACCCAGGCGGCTCAATCTCCTAAACTGAGCTCAAGATAACAGTCAGAGACATATGAATTGGCTCAATGTCTAGGTCTCACCAACCCAAGATTTCTACAAACTGGATTTGACCTCAATTACTATTGTCTGTGAACGAGTGACTGTTACTAAGGCACTCAATTATCCATAAAATGCAGGTAGTCACCAACCTACCATTCAGGCGGTCCTACCTAAGAGAGTAAGTATTGCACGACTGCCCTTCATGAATGAGTGAGAATGTAAATAAGTTGATGTAGAGTGTTTAGCTGAAAAATCTCACTCATGCCGATTGCCCACATCAACATCTATAGATGTAACTTAACTATTATCAAAATCAACCTAATACTACACTAGTTGATAGTCACACGCATTTAATACCATCGGGCACAATCATTCTCAGTAGGGCTTAATGTTTACCTGACCCTTACATTCGATCTGTGTCTAATAAGTGGGGTACAATGTCAACCTCTGATGAAATATTAGCATTCAATTCTTATGATGGTCATTCGACTCGACTGGTGAACATACCCGTGGCTGTCGTTAGAAAAGAGGCCATACAATCAATCGTAACAAAGCAACAATACAATGCATTCATAATACGTAGAAATTCCAGCAGCAAACTATGGTAAATATGATGGTGCATTTGCGTCGAGTAATACAACTTTCATTGTTGAGCTCGACAACAGCCACATAAGCTGAGCATATACCTTCCAACTCCGTCAGTCTGCAATTAAAACCAGTGGTTTTACCGATTGCGAAATCAGAGGCTTGGAGTTGTTATGCGAATGTTAAGTTAGACTTGAAATACAAAGACTTGAATAATGCAAAACTAAATGCATACCGTTTTGCAGCAATCTATGACAGCCAACTAGAAGTTTGCCTATTACTCTTATGCTGAATGACTCACAATTGACTCGCAAAGGTGATTACAGACACGATGCAGTATAGTGAACTTCTTACCTCTAACTGAACCCTGTATTCCCACTAACGAGAGTATGGCAGCTGGTTATCGAACAATCGGAGGCGTGCATGGTGAACAACGTGAACACACAATACTATACAAACGGCAAATTCATCCCTGTATAACGTCAGGGCATACATGTACGTCCGTGGATTGGAGAGTTTCGACAACAGAATCTCCTAATTCCATTTCACACACACTGTTTAAACCTGTAACACTGAGTTCAACTTTAGAGGAACAGGAGTGCCTCGTGATGAGTTTGAATCATTAGCATTGGTCACACAAACAGGAGTCTTCAAAGACACTCCAGAGAAGTTCAGAGGAGAATTACGTGAAGGGAATTTATCAGGCGACTCGAAGAAGCATCGTTGAAGTTCATCTCGAGCATTAGTACTGTTGGAGGTGTGCAGGTGATTGGTACTCTCCACTCGCTTACATCATGAATAGTTTTCCCTGACGTGTCAAACAAACACATTGAGTGTAAGCTGGTGGTGTTATATGTGTGTAAGGCAGCTGATGTGGATTGATACTGAGAATGTTTCTGTAGTTGACAGATCAAGACACAGTGATGATACGATGGATATTCGAAACTTGCAAGTGTTTTCCTAATTCCATAGTATCGAAAGCGTCCAACTGGTGCAATGCAATGCAGTAGTCCAGGTACACCGTCATATAGAATCAAACAGCATACAGGTGAACGGAAACTCATGTGCAGACATTCTATTTGAACCGAGATTTTCGGTTGAGAAACCAGTCTGGTAATACAAATGTAAATACGTTGAGATCTTCCCTAACATACTGAAGAGGATTGTTGAACTCTCGCATTTGTTGAAGGGTTACTCACACAAATGGCAGCAATACACGATAGGTGACACCAACTTACTGAGAGAGAAAGTCAGGTGAACCTGATACACGTTTCATTTGTCTCAGTCTCATCCAAACAATAGGCATCTAAGAGAGACTAAGGGATGTTTGTTGACGATTAGTCACGTACAACTGTGTGGAATATCTTTCAAGTTCCTCTCCTTATGGAAGTCTTACATCAGACTGCGAATGAAACATGAGTTTCATTCCATGAATTCGGTATTTAATTAGGTGTTTTTGGACAGTGTTTCAGCCTGCAACATATCTTGTGAACAAAAGTAAGCTGAGAGTGAAAAGTGTGGGCCGGAATGCATTAAGGATACACAACTGGAGTATCAAAAGTATGCAGTGAGACAATGGACATTCTGACAGGACTGATTCGCTTGCTCAACTGCCAATTTATGAGTGTTGTGCCCGTTAGTGACATTCACTTATTCTCACTTGAGTACATGAACTTATCAAGCGAATATTGACACTTGAATGCAGAATGAATGTGAGTAGTTGAATAAAAGAAGAGATAAACTATCCCATCACTAATCAAAATAAGTTTGAAGGTATCCTGACCAACAATGGACTGGATGGTTTGAAAAAACTTGGGCACCGAGTTAGTGTGATTCATTGTATAGGATGTATTTTTACTTGTGTAATCCCGGGTAGTATATTAGAACAAATAAAAAAATAAACAAATATTTTGTATTATTCCTCAACGTTTTGTTATTTGTTCTAATATACTACGCCGGGATTACACTAGTAAAGCAGATTCTATACAATGAACTAATCAAAATGTTCGAGACAAATTTTATCACAAAACTGATAATATGTGCTAGTTTGACAGCTATGTATTTAAGAAGACCTGATAAGGGGAAGTAACTGAACTCATGGCGTTAGTTGAAGAGTGGTCACAGGTCAATTTCTATCGCTTTCTTCGCCTAGTCAACCGGAATAGGTGACTGGTTCTCAGTCAACAATCCCCAAGAGATGATTACTTATGACTAGCTTCTCAAAGGAATTTCGTGTCATTAGCGAAATTAATTTACCTAATTGTTTTGACATCTCACTACTGTCTGTGAAAGCATTCACAATCTGCAAACATTCAGTCCACTTGTATTTACTGATTTAGTTTGAGTTTCATTAATCCCTGATCAACTTGTTCAGCTTCTAGTGTGGTACAAACATAAAGCATTTTCCGACTCACTTACAGCTATGATCATCCTCACATTCTGGCTGGTCAAGGAAGCGTGGGTATGGAAATATTAGAACAAGTCCCTGATGTTGATGCCATTATTGTGCCAGTTGGTGGTGGTGGTCTGATAGCTGGAATTTCCGTAGCAGCCAAGTCTGTCCGACCAAATATTATAATAATTGTGAGTTGATATGGGTAATAATTGTTACATACAGTGTGTAGTTTTAGAGCAAGCTCTCATGATTGTTAAACACCAAATATACTGAAGTTTTGTCAAGCTTGCTTAATCCTTGATTCTGTTAAAATTTTACAATAATGTTGATTTCTTTTATCAGATGAGCTTTGCTGTTTAAGATGAACATAATGATGTCAGACAGTTGACAAAATTTATTTCCATATTTACTGCATTTTTTCACCTGCTGCTCACTGATACACTTTCAAATCCTGGTCTTCTGTGCGGTCAAAGGTACATATTTTTTGCGTTATTTGACAGTACTCTAAATAACTAATCATCATGTATGCGAGAATTAAGTTCAGACTCTGTTCTACAGGACACAAAAACCCAGTTAACTATAGAATAGTAGACCGTGATAAGATAGGAAATCTAGTAAAGAGCTCAGCCACAGCCAAACACACTGTCACACACAATCACTTAACAGAATGGAATAGAGCGGTAATTATAAAAAAAATATTTCCGTGGGTGCAAAGAGAGATTGATAACCAAAGTCTCGCTAATTGAATCGACAGTTAAACATATATAGTAGAAATGATTCAACACCGATAGTGATTTACGGAGAATTTTACTACCAGTTATATGAAAGAATGAAAAATTAAAGAGAATTGTGTGATTACCTTGATATGATTATGAGCTATAAGTTCTACTAGAAACTTTGTCAGCAAATAATACCGTTTCGCTATATGATGCATATAAACAGGGGAACATAATGGGACTAATCAATATTTGTCTGTTATCAGAAGCCGAGGATTGTCTTGTCATCATTTTGTCTCAACCCATTATTGGTTGCATTCCTTTTAGTATCTCATTGCTTCTTTGTTTGATTTCTTATCTTTACGCTGATGTTACTCGTAGGAATTTGGGATTTGCACAACTGTGCTACATATTTCACAATGTTTATTTTTGTCATCTAAAGATTATGCATCATTCAAATAAGGTACCACCCATCTTAATGTGTGATATCAAAGTGATCAGCGTACAGTAGCTCACGGATTTTTCTTATTTAGTTGAATTTTCTAAAAAGATTTTAAAATGACTGCTTTTAAACTATTGTAATCAGAACTACTGTTCTGTGATCCATTTACCTGAGTATCAGGTGTTCAAATTCATTTGATGATATTTGCTATTCTAAAGACCACCTTATCAGCAAGTGAAATAAGTAGTTATAATTCTTCATTTTATGTAAATCTGCCTTCCCAACCCAAATAGAAAAACCTAATTGGTTATTTCAATTGCGGTTAGAGTGGCCTTTAAAACCAATCGCAGTATAGCCGCAATTTTTCGTCCAATTAAGATAAAAGTGATTTTAACGACCACCCTAACGACTGCTGAAATAAACAATAACGTATTTATATTTTGACTTGATTGGCGGTTTTTCGAAAAATTGATAAACCCAATTGGTTATTTCAGCAGTGGTTAGGGTGGCCATTACAGTCACTCTTATCTTAGTTAGACGAAAAAATGCGGCTACACTGCACGTGGTTTTAAAGGCCACTCTAGCAGCAATTAAAATAACCAATTAGGTTTTTCTATTTTGGCTGGGAGGGCAGATTTACATAAAACGAAGAATTCTAATTGGTAATTTCACTTGTTGCCATGGTAGTTTTTAGAGACCTTTACTACACTTTGTTGCTTTTTACGTTTTTGCCATCTAAGCCTATATCATACTACAGGCAATCGGGGCAATGGAATGATGACTTGTGCTGCATTCGATTATCCTGGTTCATTCATTTGATGAAGAAACCATTGGATCTATCGCATTCTTACTGGTTTAATGTCCATGACTGATAAATATCTGGTCACCATAATTATCGTAAGGTATTGATGTAAATAATGTTGGTAACTTTGTTAACTTTAACTTCAGTAAAGCAACACTGTGCTTCCCACCCAAAATGAATTCAGCCCAAGTTATTCAGTCTTCAGATCTTCAATCTGCAACAAGGAGTTTTCGGAATGGATTTGACTTACCTATCCAGAAGATTTCTTAGGGACAGAAGTATACAAATAGCTGATACTATTGTTTCTGATTTGTTTGGTTAGTTTATTATTCACAAAGAGTAACTAGTATTACTCCTGCATCTTCTGACTTTTTAGGGTGTGGAATCAGAGAACTGTCCAGGTTTCAAACAAGCTATGGTTGCTGGAAAACCAGTGTATACAGATATTGCTCCTTCATGTGCAGATGGTAAGGTACAAATATTTTTTTGTATCATGCTTTACCAGTCATAATAAAATTCTTTCAGCATTTTTGCTGATGAAATAAGAAGTTTACATTACAATGATTACTACCCACTATATTGATTATATTTATACATATATATGACACAGGGACTTATTCCCCTATTATCAATTCTCACCTACCATCAATCCATGATGAAAATCTGCCTTGAAAGGAATAGATTTCACAAACCACCTAGTTGAGGGTAGATTGTTTAAGCAGTGTCTGATGTGCTTCATTCCTCAGGAACTAATTTATGCTTATTATCCACTATTCAAATCTATAGAGATACAAACTAAAGAAGTATCTGATAGTTTTTTGGTGTCTGAGGTTACAGGTCAAAGTTTGATATCTACATCAAGGAGACAGTACCATAGTTATAAAGTCTAAAAAATCTATTCACATTAAATTCAATGTTTTTTTCGCTTCCAATCAGTTGATTTAAACACTATTTCAAAGAATTTTTCTTCGTTTCATACCTATAAACTTTTTGTTTTGAAGCATACTGTGTATCATTAATCAAGAACTTTTAAGGGTGCTTGACTGAAGAAAGACAGGCATATCAATAAAGAAATTTGCAGAGGAAGCATAAATTCAAGTTGCTCCACTTCACAGAAGTGGAACAATATAAGATAAGACGGAATAAGAAAAGGTCGATAGAATGTTTGAAAACTTCAAAAAAATAAGAAGCTATCAATCAGTACATTTTTAGTCGATTTAAAGCCCTTTTTCTACTGGAGGTCTAAAGCGTTTATTCTTTTCATTTCAAGGACTAAAAGGCGCAAATTACATCACCTTAAGTGGACTTTTACAAGAATCAGAAACCTCTTCAATAGATGCCACACCATAGTCTTATTATCCTTAACTTTCTTCAGGCTTTGTTTTACCGTTACTAACATTGTCTATCATCGATTTACTTCACCACCTTTACTAGCACACTACACTGAGCCTCAACACCACTCATTTTATCTTTTCATCAGATACAGGCAACTTCAGTGAACACGTGAACTGGTTGGCTAGATTAATACAAAACGCAATGAAATATTCCGCAACTTCGCCCTACCAACTATCATTTCCTACCGTTTACATATCTCAGCCTCCAAGTCTGAAATAATTACACTGCTCATACTCGAATTTATTATCTTGCTGCAAAGTGTATTCTTTATCAGACTCCAGTCAAAGAACCATTGAAAGATAAGGAGACCAGGTCTCCTATTCACTTCTACACTGGAATCCTTGATTCTTCCCACCTATAGTTAGTCAGCAGTTGGATCCAGCACATTACTGCTGATGTTCTGATTCCTTAAAGTTTTAAAATTATCACCCGTACCATTCTCTTCAACAATCTGACGCACAATTCCAATCTCACTACATATTAAATTTCCAGTCACAGGACTAATAGCTCCAGCATCCTATCAAATATTAGGACAAAATAAGATTCAAAATCTTCGGGTATTCTAAGTATTTTAAAGTGAAATCATGGATTATATTATCCCATTTAATTAACTGTAAATTGTTTTACATTACTATAATACGTAAATCAACACTTGCGTATTCTATATTTCAGGATTAGCTATTTCTATGGTTGGTGTGAATGCATTCAAAACATCTCATAAGTTAGTCGACAAAGCAATCACTCTCAATGAGTCATACATGCACCGTGCAGTTTTACATTTACTGGAAGCAGAAAAATGTGTTGTAGAATGCTCAGGAGTTACTCCATTGGCAGCAATTATGGCTGAAATGTTACCGGATTTAATTGGCAAAAAGTATGTCACTTTTCTGCATATGCTTATATTCACTGTTTGCTGATACTTTTGATTCTCCCTTATTCTACCAGCTTAATTCATATTTGTAAATAGAATGTTTTCAAATCAGGTATATTTTGTGTCCTGCAAATTTATAACTGATAAATGACAGCCTGCATGGTGCTAAAAGTACAGTGGAAGTTCTAATTTTCAAGCATTTTCGAACATTTCTGTTATTTCTGTGCAAATAAATGCAGTTGAAGAGGAATCATAAGCTCATGATATAAAGCAGGTTCCAATATCATTTGAAATACCGTGAGCATTCACGGTATTCACATGAACTGGTCAGTAAGTATTTGTATCTGTACTCAGTTCCAACCGTGAACTCGAACTGTATTTTGAAAATGGTCTACTCATTCACAGTTACAAGGCTATAGATGGGTGCATGCAAGATTATAAAAAATATGATTTTCAAAGACACACACTATTCTTCATGATTCTTGGAGTTTGTAGTTAGATTGAATAGCGAGGCTGATTTATTTTGATGCATAGGCTAATATCACCACCCTACCACGGTAATCAGAAGCCTAAGGACGTTGCTTAAACACTAGTCACTGATACTGATACACTCAATATTTTCAGATCACAGTGAATATGTAGGTTCGGGTACTTCAAGAATCGTCAACAGATAGTTATTCATTCGAATACCTATATGACAGCTGTGGACTACACGCTCCGGTATTTGCTTATGTTCACTGCTGGTTCTCTTGGTTTTACTTTTCTGGTTATGGCATTTGTGCATGCAGATAATAAGATTGCTCAATACTGACATTATGTGATCAGTAATATTCTACCCTCAGTGAGGAGTTGGTAGTTACTGACTAGTTGTGGAGATTTGGAATAACGTAAGCAACTCCTTGCTTTGAATTATGCATTACGTTCCAATCTTCTGCACAATGTAGTGCACTACGATTGTCATTCTCAACTGGTTTTCTACACTACTGGCAGTGTTTATGATACCTGTCGAGTTCATTCACTCGCCTCATAGTAGAGCATTCTTTCGTAAGCCTAGTTTGTTCTCAAGAAGCATAAACAGAGGCTGTTAAGTTCTTCGTCAACTTCTAGGTCACTATTTCTCAGATTCGGTGTCACGTCACCACTATGTTTGCCATTTCTGCGAGTGCATGATTGAAACAGACGAAATTCCTGTACAAAGCTCCTTATTTTCAATGTCAAGCCAGTGACAACACTTCATATGAACAGCTTGAAGGAAATTAACCAGTCTGTACTAATGGATGTCAAAAGTAGATAAGACCAATCAATGCAAAGAGACCAAGTATTAGGAAGAAAGTAGACCTACTTTCATGTTCCTCATGCAGAATTATCTGTATAGTCATTCGACTCTGATAACGAGTTGTGTGTGCAAAGCCCATTCCATCAGCCTATGTTATTGTGGACACACCATAATTGTGTTGTTCTCGATATCGCACAGAAATTCACAGCTTTCACATTGTCCATGGGTTACATTCGTAGATTCCGTTTATTTTTTAACCACAGTACGGCTACTGAAGACTGCTCTAGTTTTACTCATTCTTTATGAAAATTCACCTTAAATAATGAGAAGTGAATAGTTGTTTAGTGCTAACTAGGATATAAAGGAAGTGACTAGAGAGTTTTTACTTGATGGAAAAGGACTGAGCTCGGCATCTGATGCAATCGAAGGTGGTATTCACCAACTGTATACTCTGTTTCTTTCACATTTCAGGTTGTTTGCGTTTTGAGTGGAGGTAACATCGATACTCCAATGTTATGTCGCATCATCCAAAACGCATTGGCACTTGAAGGTCGTCTGTGTCGATTTGCAGTTGTTTTAACTGATGGACCTGGAAGTATCGCAGATCTATGTCTCATTTTGAAGGATGTCGGAGTCAGGCAAGTACTTTACAACAAAAGCAGTCCTCCCTCTTCACTAATCATAATTATATTCAGATCGTTTGCAATTTACCATGACTTCCAATCACTCGTTTATTCCTAAGTTCTATTGATATTAAGCAGATCATCACTGTTATTGTGGAAATTCGATGAAGTGCATTGAAGTATAACAGCCAATTCCAAATGAGTGACACTTTTTCGAATATCCTCTTCTGCATAATTTCCACCAAACTTACAACATGTATACAGCAGGATGAGTAGTAGCATTGTATGTGTGTGATGCAACTATAATCGGAATTTATTCCATGTATTGGAGGTGATTTTGTGTGCCAAAAGTCGGTTTGAAGTGTTACCTGACTCTTGTTTAGCAGTGTGATGATTCCACACAGTTTAAGAAGGCATGAGAAGGCATGAACAATTCACTGTTAACACTTCACAATTACTTCTTTTACAATTTCATAAATGTGCACATTTGACGCATCACATTTGTTCCGACTTCGTAGAATTGAGCAGATGAATACATACTTATCATTTGTTTCAGCCTTAACTTTGATGGCTATTAGAGAATTTCCATTCTGTGGATGGACATTTAGATGCACAGGGTGTGTGTGGGGACATAAGAAAGAAAGTGGAGACAATCGAGAATGCATTGCCTTCGTGAGATATCACAGAGGCATTGGGTCGAGTGATTAATTGTGAAATCACGAGAGTTGAAACCATGTGCTTGCAGCACGTGGTTTTGACTTTTTCGTGCAATGTCAATCAATGCAACTCTGATGACTAGATATAATAATTCGGTATTCCGTTGTTACCATCTGCTTCAGCATCTATTTAGCAGTGTAGATTCGATTCCGAAGAGAAACTGGTGCGTTATCTGAGACATAGTTTCAGTTCACCAGTAATTTTTGGCCGCAATGATTACAGTGACGTGCGTTGTTGTAGAGGGATGACGGATCAGTGAATGAAACTTTGAAATTAGTCAAGATTAGTGTATGTTGGCATCTGCTTGTTGGTATCAGAAAGCCACTAGATACATTTGTGTCAATGAAGTGAAATTCATGTACTTTGACTTACATTCGAACTGATTTTATCCGTCTATCATGATTATGTCCAAAGTTTCCGACATTATCTTTTTCCATTTTTAGTCTGACTAGTTTTCAGTTGCTTACAACCTGCCTATATTTCGTTCCGAATCAATCTACATATCGATAATTAACTCTAAGTTTTCGTGCAATAACAGAAGTTTAATATTACGCTTTTTGTATAAATGAGTTCTCTGATAGTTTTTTTTATTACGAATTTTGTTCATAGGATTTGAAATGAGCTTTTTCAACAGTCTGTGAAGTACATAAGTAATCACCTAACTAGTTTAAACTAATAGTCGTGTTTGAATTTTCTAACTGAGTACGTTTACAATGAATCAAACACAAGTTCATAGACTTAGTGGTAACTTTTCAGGACATTCATTTATACTGATTAATTGTTATCTATATAAATTCTGCATGACACATTTATATATGATTGTGTTGTAAAATGCATTCACGAGATGAAGACAAGTTTGAATTAGTAAAAATCTCCAAAAACCAATGCTAACTTTGGAATCCAATAAAAACTAGTGATCATTGAAACATTTCCCCATGATAATTTGTATTCTCTAGCAGCATGAGCCTTTTGCAACTTGGATGATGGGAATAAGAATCATCATGATAATTCTTTATAATATAAGCCTATCATTCTATATCAGATCTCTCAATGAAAGCTCTTGGTTTACTTATGGTCAACTTGAAGTGCTCATCTGTATTCAAAACTATATTTCCTCCTGTATTTGAATAAGTGAATATTGCTCACTCACACGTCATAACGACAAATTCCCGAAAATATTGACAGGACTTCATCCTCAGGGTATGCTTAAACAGCTCATTAATGCGTTATAGGCATTTTGGTGATGGGGATTGCATTACAGTTAAAAACAGAACTCATTAATCTTCATGTGCAGTGTAAATTTGAGCATAGACTCATGTCTATATATTTCATTTTGATGGAAGTTTACTGGACAAACTGGTAAATCACAAAACACAAATTTTAATGAATCAGTTTTCGTTATGACTTGCTGTGAAGTTTGATCTGTTGCATTTCAGTATCTACTTGAAACTAGATGTCAAGGTGTATAGTCGAGAAAGATTTTGAGGATTGTATTTGCATAAGCATAAAGGCAATAATTTTAACTTGAATTAAATGTCTTAAGAGGTATTTCAGCTAGCAAATAGACTTTCTTTAGCTGTAAAACTGCAATTTTGATGACAAGGTGGTTCAAGTTAAAATCAAAGAAGAATCATATCTGCAGTTTTATCTGACCTATTTCGTTCCGTGCCATTTAAAGCAAAAGGTCAGGCTACTCTCCGCACTCTAATTATATTTCAGTCATCACACATTTCGAACATCCATGCTATGAACAGGAAACTTGAATCCATGTACTTTTCATCACAATAACTAAACATCTCACTTCCAGATTAGTTAAAACTTATTAAATGAAGTCTATTGGGGTACGGACTGATTGTTCACTAACTAGACTAACATGGTTTTCGTCAACAACTTACAATATTATTTTGAGATAATAAATTAAGTTGTTAGAAAATTTGGATGTATTATTCATGAAGGGTACTTTTTATAGGTGAAAAGACAGTCTTTCTCGATATACTTATTCACTGTTATGACTGAAATGTAATACTTCTGAAAATCCTTTGTAAAATTTCGAATATAGTATTTCGAAGTTACCTCAGATATATTTATTTTCGGGACTGTTCAGTCTTTATATGCTTTTCATCCGTTTCAGCATTTATCAGTGAGTTTTATCTACGAAAACCTAAGCTATCATCAAATAAGCATCTGACTTTTTCGAATATCTTACTTTACCATTGTAACTATTATTATTATTAGTCCCTTGGGTTCCTAATGGAACATAAGGCTTCAGTAGCACGTCTCCAGTGAACTCTGTTCTCTGAAATCTTTTGAACCTGGCTCCACGACAGCCCACAACCTCTCATTTCCACCTCGCACGATCTCCATGTCACCCTCGGACGTCCAACTCGTCGCTTCCCATGAGGGTTCCACTCGAGGGCCTGGAGCGTGATGTCCCCAGTCGGCCTTCTCAGTGTGTGCCCAATCCATCTTCACTTTCTTCTGCATATTTGTTGCGTGATAGGTTCTTGGTTAGTTCGTTCCCAGAGCTCCTTGTTGCTTATTCTTTCTGGCCATCTGATCTTCAGTAACGAGCCAGCGTAGGCAGTTGTTGATGAATGTCTGTAGTTTATTGGAAATCCCTTTCGTGACGCGCCAAGTCTCTGAGCCATACAGAAGCACTGACTTGACTGAATTAGTGTTGAAAATCCGGATCTTGTTCCACATGCTGAGTGGAGTGCAGAAGATCTCCACACTGGTTTCAGGCTAATGAACTCCTGTCTTGCTTTTCCGATCCTGGCTGACTTTGACATCCTCGTCTGTGCCTGTGCCGCCTGTAGTTGAAACAGTGCTTCCTAGATAAGTGAAGGAGGTTACTTCCTTTAAGTTTCTCCCGTTGATGGTGATTGGAGTTTGTTGTTGTTGTTGGAGTTGTTGGTGCGGCATCTTCATCACTTCTGTCTTCTCTACATTCACTTGAAGTCCCGTCTTCACTGCCCTGCCTCTTCTGTCAACTTGTTAGTTTTCGTCTGTAGATCTTCAAGTTTATGTGACATCAGACACAAGTCATCACTGGCCAAATCCAGATCTTCTAGGTTCTTTTCCGCAGTCCAGCTAACGTATCCCCCTCTTCTCGCTCCCCACAGTTGTCAGCTGCATGATCCAGTCCAGTCGACCACAATCAGGAATATTATGGGTGATAGTAGGCAACCTTGTTTCACTCCTGTCTTCACTTCACTTCAGTGGCATCACTGAGCTTCCCATTGTGAATTACTTGGCATGTGGCATCTTCATATAGTTGTTGAATGTGGCTGATAAAGGTTTGCGGTACTCTGTAGTAATGAAGCAGTTTCCAAATTACCTCTCGGTCAACGCTGTCAAAGGCCTTCTCAAAGTCGATGAAGTTGAGGCAGAGAGCTGATTGCTATTCTATGCTCTGTTCTATGATGATGCGAAGCGTTGCAATTTGGTCCGCATATGATTTGTGTTTCCTGAAGCCTGCCTGTTGCGGTGGTAATTTTGAATCCAGTGCATCCTCAGGATGATGCAGCTTAATATTTTGCTTGGGGTGGGTGTGGACAGGAGAGTGATTCCGCGCCAGTTCTTGATTCTCCAGATGACAGTTTGGAGAGTTCACTCCCATTCCGTCTGCTTTCGCAAATTCCAAGCACTTCAATGTGATACCTTCTCATCTTGTTTGCAATCTGGGCTGCCTTGCTGTGTTCAAACATCGTGCGGACATTCCATGTCCCCACGTTTACTTTCACTTTCATCGAGACAAGACACATCGGCCAATTGGCTTCCCGAAAGCTTTCACCAATTGGCGTCATTTCGCCTCTCCGATTCCAGCGAGGGATAATTTTATTTTTTTTTATATATAGTTTGTGCTTTGAAGTTTCTTTAGCGGTTAGATTTGTTTTAGGGGGTAGGGTTGCTAGCCCTATGTCCAACCTTCCCTCTTTACCCGGGCTTAGGACCGGCTAGTAACTAGTGGACTAGTTAACCAGGCGAGGTTACCATTGTAACTAGTGTAAGTAAATTAGATGACTTCATATCAGTTAACCATGCTTTGTACTCATTTCATTTATACTCTTTCACTAGATTTCAACAACTGTTTACCTAAGAAAACATATCTGCATCATAAATGTAAACCTCCAGTAATTCGTTTTATACACTACTGATCAATATCTTTTGGATAGGTAGTTACCTATGGACGACATATGATATAAGTCCGCAGATCACGTATTTTTTTTATCCAACTAGTTGATGCTCGGAGACTGTTTTCAGCTGCTGAAGAAGAAGAGAAGTGAAAAAAAAACTACGTTTGCATTCACGTAGAGTTGTTTTGACAAAAAAAGAGTCGACCGTAAAATATATAGACAGTGTGTTAGCGTCAGCGATGGACTGTTATGAAAAGTGACAGCACGGTTTCTCAAAAATCATGTCACTGTTAAAGTTGACGAACGAGAATCCGACAGGTAAGAACTCAATAAAAGTCTGGTTTTCGAAGACAAAAGACGTGGCAGGAAAGCATATATTAGATTTCGTTCCTTTAAAACGTTACCTAAATACGATGACGCCATCGAATTTAACCACATATATTAAGAGTAGGAACTTACGTTAGTCGATCAGTTTGGTAACCAGTATTGAATAAGTCGTTTGGGACATACGCTAGGTATGCCAAGTGACTGCAAACACTCTGATGAACGAAACTGATTAAATACAGATTATTGAAGACCAGGTTGATTTCAATTAAACATCGACCACAAATGTTTCATTTAATAAAATGAGTAATTTTTAACTAAGATTCATTTTAAAGATAATAAACTCATTTCTTAGGTCTTGCTTGTTTATGAGTTCCTGATAAATTCTGATAGTCCTCTGTCTTTTTTATCTAAGAATAGATGTTTTAGGTAGCCAATGTCGATGACAGCAACCACTACTAATCGACCAACGATGGAGATATATTTTGTTTGTTGGCTGGAGCAAGAATTGTTGTTGCTGCATTAGCACATATTATCTGCAAACACACAGCTTACTCCGATAACTCAACATCACAACCTCTTATTGACTTTAAGTATTCTTTATATTTATCATGTTTTTTGTTTTCCTTTTTACAAACATTTCTTTAAATATGTCTCTTACTGCCTTCTATCAATTTTTTAGCATTAAAGATATCACTCAGGATCGCATCTGGGTGAAGTCAAGTGTATTTCAAGTTCAAGTGAAGTGTGTCTGTGAAACGAATAGTATCTCACAAACAGCGGATTTGGAACGTGCACTGAAAGCAAAATATAAACATGTTGTTTGGGCTGAAGACGCTGTCTGGTAGTTACCATACCTTGCCTTTTCTTAGGTATAACAAAAGAACAATGAATGATTAAGTTCCTTTTCACAAAGTATAAAATTACAATGACATGCACAAGCACACTAGCTATGACACATGTAATGTTATCAGAATAGTTTACACCTAATTTATTCAGTTCAATTTGCTATTTTCAACCAATTTATTTTGTAAACAGAAAAATCAAGCGATAAATAAATAATTTTGAAAGAGTCATTTGTTAAATCATTTAAGCTACTGGTTTTTAAATGTCTAACCTGTAGATTTCAAACTAACTTATTTAGTTTAAAAGAGCCTTTTCATTGTTTTAAGCTCTTTCATAATTCATCTCTTCAGTGGGATTCAAGTTAGAACTGTTTGTGGTGCTTAGGATTTTAGACACATACAAGTTGATTCGAGTAGATAAGCTTCCTGTTGGAAAATGAAGGGTAAAATATTAAAAATTTAGGATATTCTTTGTGTAACAAGAAGGTAGTTGCTATTCTGTCTCAACTCCCATCGTATTTTCAGACTACACGGTGCTCTCAGTCAGAAAAATATGTTCATGCGAAAAAATTCATTAAAAGTGTTGTCTACAGAATGATTGTATGCCACGATATGGGTTCTATTTAATTTACTTTTGTGATTTCTTCAAAACCACATAATAATTTTGCCTAAACCAGCTGAAATTCAAAGCCTTAATAATTGCAAACTAATCTGTTCAAATCGTTAAAGGGATACATCAGTAAGCTTCAAGCTGTGCTTTATTTGAGCAGCAAAACATACCCAAGTTCTGGACAACAGATAACTTCGATTTAATTCCATACATTAGTAGCTTACTTTTGAACTGGTATACGGATAGTAGTGCCTATCATCATCATTAACTTATAAATTCTTGTTATAGTGTAGAATAAGATTGCCATAATCTTCATAATCCCTGAAGCATTCCACAACAAATCGTGTTGTACTGAAGTTTCAAGAGAAAGCGCATGAACCAACGCGTAAGTATCAGATTGATTGGAGGGACGAAAATCAGTAAGAAATCTAGGTCTAGAAATGCCTGGAAATAGCTGAGGCCGTTGTGAATATGTCTAAACCCGTGTATTTTGCATAAATTTGGACGTTGTAAATACACCCTCTGTCATCTTAGTACCTTTTCCATTTGCCCAGAAACTAAGAGACCATCTGAGGGTGGAATCTAAAGGCTAGTGTACAAGCGTCCACTTATATATAACTGAGGCTATATCAAGTCACTACAAGGCCTTAACATGTGGTGAAAAGTAAACAGTAATTGTAAAATTTTATTAGATTCTGATTGAACGAATAGAATGGACCTAATATTGCATGCCAGTTGAGATACATACATTAAACAGATTAAAATGAATTTATTTAAATGAATGGTATAATAATGTCACCCACTTCGCATAAGAAGGATTTTTCGAAAATTTTGATTTCAGATTATCACAAATCTTGTCCAGTAAATATTTTCATGGTGGAATTTTCAGTTGTAGGGAGGGGTTTAAAGCTTTTTTGAGTATCTAATCTGCGGAATTCCCAATATAATCAGTGAGTAATCTGTCACACGAGAAGAGTAGCACAAAGTTCAAGATCAGGACAGAATACATTTACACCCTAAACATAATTGTCCTTAGAATGATCAAGAAAGCCCTACGTAGTTTTTATCTTCCGAGCTTTCCAGGTGACCGGATAGGAGTAGTAAAAGGCCAATATATCTAGTGACTGAACGGTAAAAAAACGCAGAGGTGATAATAATAGATTGAATTTTTCCAGTGTGATGCATAACTACATATTCATTTCAGCAGTCAGCTATGCAGACATACAATGTTGTTATTCTGCAGTAAGTTTGATTTAAATGTCTTATTACACACAACAGAAACGTCTATTAGAAGAATCCTACTTAACAGAGGAAATTGATAGTGTAAACTAGTGCTTACTGTGTTTTCCATGTCTGTTGTAGTCCGTTACAGAATAAATCGATCCGCTCTGAATTTGATAATCACTTGTTATTCTAAGATATGATAGAAAATACGAAGAACTGAATTAATGCTTCTGACATAAGTATGTGACAAAATAGTGTCGAATGTCCACCTAAAGATAGCAGATGGCTGTATAGTCTGCGGAAAGAATCTGAATAATAATGAAAATCAATTTAAATCTTCATCTGCGAGCTGCTATATCCCGATCATCCACTCGTAACAGAACTGTGTACTTTTATTGAATGTCTTCTTTGTAAAAGACAGAATTCGCTTTATTTTTTAGTTATTATTCACTGACAACATCAAGACTCTAATTCTAATGATTGTTGAGATATGTAACCCAATTATCTGGAGAACAGTTGTAAATGAGTGATCAGTGCAAAGCTCAACCTGCAGAAATTATTGAATATCGACAATTAAAATATGGCTGCAACACAAAGAGTAATTAAATGGTCAGAAATCATCATTCTAACCTACTGTACCTTGTTTGGCCATGCTTTGAAATGTTAGAAGGGTAGGCTAATTCGGTAGCATCATTATGCATCTTATGCTGCACTGAACAGTATCAGTAGATTATATAAGGTAATATCTTTTATGAGAATTCCACAATATGGATCTAGAAGATTTTATATTCTTCAGTGCGGAGGTTAGAAGCTCATTACTTTCCCCAAGGAAAGTTAAAAAGGTTTACAATAGAGATAAGACGGAATAAGCATCTGCAGAATACAAACATTAAAATGAATTGTTAAGTTTTATTAGTAGAATGGAATAGTAAAGAACTACTAGAAGTTTTCGTTGTGTCTGCGAGTGATATAGTATTCTGTGAAAGAATATAATGCCACGTAAAGTATTGACATAAAACATGAGAAGTACAATAATTTAATAAGACGGCAACCCCGAAGTTTTGAAAACTAAAGCAGTTCTAACATGCTCAATATGATACGCTTAGGATTGTTATTTTCTATAAGACCATCAGTTTCATCAGAAACAGATGTATTCCCATAAATTTCCGAGAAATATGAACATCATTTTCAAGCATCAGAGTCAGATAAAGGTATTAAAACTAGTCAAGAGACTTTGCAAAGTGATTAGCACTTTATGATAGGTGAATAAGAAGTCAACTTTTTAGAATACAGTATCTCTACCGAATTCAAACAGACGTCATGCAAATGAGGATGAAGAATATCATTCAGGCCGTTGTATTACGATCAGTAATTTAGGTGACTTTAAAGGCCATCCTATAAATACCAATTAGGTGCCCATTTTATCTCGAAAGGCAGTTTCTCAAAAAATACAGACCTCTAATTGGTTATCTGACTAGTTGTTAGGGTGGCCTTTAAAGTAACTCAGTAATTTCATTCTTTACTTCTCAGGTTCTAGCTTTTCCAAGTCTTTGAATGTATTCTGATCAGAAGAATTTATTATAGTTGCACAAGAAATTCAATATATATTCTTCTTTGGCGGAATCACTACCAGTAGTCTGCGTCGGTCAAGTCCTACTGGTCAAAAAGTGAGATATCACCACTATCTTGAGGAAATCAGAATCAAATTGCACCTGGACTAATGCTCCATGGCTGCAGAAATATCTGAGACCTCACGGTGATTCATCCACACATCTCAGTTAAATACCTTTGTTAGACTTTATGTTACTAAAGTCTTTTGCATAGCTACTGCGATCAGTGTCATTGATTGTGGTGCAAAGTAGAGCTCAATTTATTGTCCGACAAGTAAACAAAAAATTCCGGGTTGCAGTTATAACTTGCAGGTTACAGTAAACTTGTCACGATTCCTCATTAACGGCTTCTTACTGTCACAACGCTGACATAAAGCACATGTTAAAGCAATTATCAGTTATTCTACTTATTATATGATGCTTATCAGAAACTGATTTTACGGATGCAAATTAATTCATATTATGCTTTAATTTTTTCATCTTAGTCAACCTGGAAGACAGGAGACAGCCTCTGAACATAACACTAGTAATAATAAAGAGGAGATTTACTCTTCACTTGTTGAATGCGAGGATTCATTTTATTTGTACAATGATAATTCATTTACAGGTGTATATCAAACTTCTAAAGTGACCACTTTTTTTCTACTTCTACTATCAAATAAGTGAATTCTCTTTTTAAACCATGACTTTGCGAGATTTCAACAATAATACTTACTACTATAGTAGGGTTTTATGAACATTTTACTACAGAACTGAGTCACAATTTAATACAAATAGCTGATATTGTTAAAAATGATAACTGTTTACTTTTTAAAATCTATTTGATAATGAAACACTTGGAATGTCAAATTTATCTCGACCTACTGTATTGAACAAACAGAATCTGACCACTTTTGGTAATCATGTGAACACCATGTATTCCGATGTACATTTGAAAATTATTTGAAACGATATGTTTTATTTGTAATTAAATAAAATAATTTTAAAACAACAGAATAGAAGTTGATGCGAAAGTAATTCCTGAGTACTGGCATTCGTTGAACACCATTCTGCTTCTGAATGTCATGTTTGAAGTTCAAATTAAAAAAGGGAAGACTGAGAAAGCAATAGGCAGGATTGCTTTTCGAATGAAATTCTATGAAAAAAATTACGAAACTTTAAAACAACCTCATGGAAGACTAAATATCACTGATACCTTTGTAGTAATAATAACATTTCAGTTACTATTTTTAACTGCTGTTTATCAGTATGTAGACATAAATAGAGATCCAGTGAAAGGGGTAACTTATATTGTCGAATTTCTAGGCAAATACGATTACATACAGCATAAGTACTGATATCACTACCTTGTACGATTGATTACAGACAAACAAGAAACACCTAAAGTCTCCAACGATGCATTTTTTTACCTACCTAAAATACATGGTCAGTATTGTAGAGCACAGTCTTGTGATAAAATTTGTCTCGAACATTTTGATTAGTGATGGGATAGTTTATCTCTTCTTTTATTCAACTACTCACATTCATTCTGCATTCAAGTGTCAATATTCGCTTGATAAGTTCATGTACTCAAGTGAGAATAAGTGAATGTCACTAACGGGCACAACACTCATAAATTGGTAGTTGAGCAAGCGAATCAGTCCTGTCAGAATGTCCATTGTCTCACTGCATACTTTTGATACTCCAGTTGTGTATCCTTAATGCATTCCGGCCCACACTTTTCACTCTCAGCTTACTTTTGTTCACAAGATATGTTGCAGGCTGAAACACTGTCCAAAAACACCTAATTAAATACCGAATTCATGGAATGAAACTCATGTTTCATTCGCAGTCTGATGTAAGACTTCCATAAGGAGAGGAACTTGAAAGATATTCCACACAGTTGTACGTGACTAATCGTCAACAAACATCCCTTAGTCTCTCTTAGATGCCTATTGTTTGGATGAGACTGAGACAAATGAAACGTGTATCAGGTTCACCTGACTTTCTCTCTCAGTAAGTTGGTGTCACCTATCGTGTATTGCTGCCATTTGTGTGAGTAACCCTTCAACAAATGCGAGAGTTCAACAATCCTCTTCAGTATGTTAGGGAAGATCTCAACGTATTTACATTTGTATTACCAGACTGGTTTCTCAACCGAAAATCTCGGTTCAAATAGAATGTCTGCACATGAGTTTCCGCTCACCTGTATGCTGTTTGATTCTATATGACGGTGTACCCGGACTACTGCATTGCATTGCACCAGTTGGACGCTTTCGATACTATGGAATTAGGAAAACACTTGCAAGTTTCGAATATCCATCGTATCATCACTGTGTCTTGATCTGTCAACTACAGAAACATTTTCAGTATCAATCCACATCAGCTGCCTTACACACATATAACACCACCAGCTTACACTCAATGTGTTTGTTTGACACGTCAGGGAAAACTATTCATGATGTAAGCGAGTGGAGAGTACCAATCACCTGCACACCTCCAACAGTACTAATGCTCGAGATGAACTTCAACGATGCTTCTTCGAGTCGCCTGATAAATTCCCTTCACGTAATTCTCCTCTGAACTTCTCTGGAGTGTCTTTGAAGACTCTTGTTTGTGTGACCAATGCTAATGATTCAAACTCATCACGAGGCACTCCTGTTCCTCTAAAGTTGAACTCAGTGTTACAGGTTTAAACAGTGTGTGTGAAATGGAATTAGGAGATTCTGTTATCGAAACTCTCCAATCCACGGACGTACATGTATGCCCTGACGTTATACAGGGATGAATTTGCCGTTTGTATAGTATTGTGTGTTCACGTTGTTCACCATGCACGCCTCCGATTGTTCGATAACCAGCTGCCATACTCTCGTTAGTGGGAATACAGGGTTCAGTTCGAGGTAAGAAGTTCACTATACTGCATCGTGTCTGTAACCGCCTTTGTGCTAATCGATTTAATAATACGGTATGATCATGCAGAGATGAAGATGCACACTGATATATATTTGTGCTATTGCTTTGTGAACAAAATTTATATAGTTTCACTTAGGAGGTTAAAACGGGTGAACTGATATCAAGGTAGTATTCATGACGGGATCGATTTTCAACCTACTTTTCTTCCACGAAGTAGACGATCTATATCCGTCAAAGTTTATATTTCTTTTGATTCCCAGTGTCACTATTTTATTAAATCCTAGGATGATAAGCAGCTGATTGCTAACCTTGTGACATAATGATGCAAATTTTACTAACTTAAGTATCCTAAAAAACCATGGTGTAGTTTTATTAGTTTTACTAAATTTTCACGTACCCACATTGAAAATAAAATTGTTAGAGAAAAACTAGGGGAATTTTACTTTTCTTAAAAGTTACATAAAGTTCGAGAAAGTAATTTAATTTTCATCTCGGAGCTAGGCGACTTCATCATCATTTACTTCAGAAAGAAATGAAGCATTTTCAAGTTGCATCGATGTTTATCTAGGATATTTGCCGACGTTGAAAGTTATCGGCTTGTGGGTAGACGTGATTTGTATTCTTTTCGTCACAAGTTGACCTACTTTCTGGTCAATGGACTGTTTGATTGATTGCTAGTAGGTCGACTCCTTTTTAGAAGTTGGCATCCTGGGTCAATCTCCACGTGTCTGTTGATTGCACTTTGATTTGATTACTATGCTTTTCTAAATTCTCTTGGAGTTTTTGATTTTGCTTGTTGTGGTATTTCTCCTTCAATTAAAACGACGTACAAATGTTAATGAGGTCTCCTAGTCTGATGATGAAACGTTCAGGAAGAAATGTCAGGACTCGAAAACCCCAAGCAGTTATCATTTTTATCAAGAGCTACAAACCTTTTCTACTATCTCAAAGTAATTTAAGAGATTGTGATAAATTTTTAGAGAATGTTGGGGTGGAAACAAAAAGCCAGTAGCATCTACTGGTCTTTTGTAATTTTTTGACTTCGAATAAAGAAAAGTACTAGAGGTGGTGAAAGGAAACAACAAAAAATAAAAATAATGTCCCAACAAACATGAAAGCATGAAAAGTGGAGAATGTGTGCTTTTTAAAACGCCACATGGGGAAAGGCAAACCTACACATACGCAGATCTATTTTTTTTCGATTTGCGTTATTCTTTTGCGGTTTTTGTGTCACAGAGTAGCCAAGATCTCAATGGGATTTTGAATTCATTGCCTATCTGCTTTTTGCAGCATAATTTTGGTCTTATTCTCTAGAATAGTGGAAACTAATTAATATTCAGTGATTTTGTTATGAGTATTTGAATCTTATATCTTTAGAACTCTAGTCATTTGAAAGTTGAAGGGTATTTCAATTTGGTTGATAGGGAAGCATGGCAGCATAGCATTAGAATGACTGAGTTAAATAATTCTGCACACGACTTTTCTTCATAAGTTCCGTATTGTTTTTATTAGCATTACAGCTCACTATAGACCTTTCTTGCTAGGTCTAAGCCTCCCATTGTCATTTTCTGAATACAACTTCATGGTTTAAGATATATATATATATTATAGTAATGCTGAGTTCATAAATGAGGATAACAACTGGAGTTTCAATAGCAGTAAATGACTGTTGAGCAAATCACAGATATTGTCACCATAACGACTTTTGAATAACGCCTAGAAGAATAAGTGAATTCATATGAGAAATCTGACCCTGCTCTGTTGGATATTTTTCGGACTTCTGATTGTTGGAACTTCATTACTCGCACAAAAAATAATCTCTTGTTGCAATGCCAGGTGGTTGTATATTCCCCCCTCCAAGAAGTATGTAGGGTTGTCTGCAAATTCAAAATTGAAAAGAACTTGTTTTGCTTGCGTAGCTCTCGTTAGAGGCTTGTAGTGGGAGTAAATAATCAATGGTGTATCACCAACCATCTATCTAAAGTGCCTGAATAATAGGTAAACTGTCAGTAAACCTTTTCAGAATAGACTATACCTTGCTTATGAAGAGTTCATCCTTGTGAAGAAAGCAAACGGCTACCGTTTGTCCTCGGAAATCTATTAAAATATAATTGTGCTACGTTTTATGAATCCATTGTGATAGATAAAGGAGCGTTGGTGTTACAATAATTAAGTTTTGGAACAAAGAACCAGTTATAGCTTGTCGAATGTAGAAAATGTTGCTGGAGTAATATGAAGCATATAAAATGAGGCCTTTCATGAAGTTTCAAAGCTTGAGAAATACATGCACACTTGGGCATAAACTGACGATGAGCTCTCACAAGACCAAGGCGATGCCTGATTTTTGAATAGGTGCGGAAGAAAAAAGTGGCATTCTACCCACTAACTAACTGTCAATAGAAGAATCGTACATGAACGCGTCTGGAGGCTTCAAAGTACGGTTACAGTAGCCATAAACAATTTCCCACATATTACGACATGACTTTATGTGTTGTTGTGCATTCATGAACACTTAAAAATGACCTCCAAATTCCAGCACCGATCATCGCTCAAGTTTCCGAAAACAGAAAGGCATTTAGACAATAGATGAATTGTAAGTTCAATATATGTACTGACTGCTTACTGGAAAGTGACCTATTTCACGTTACACAGTCCTAAATGCCAACAGAATTTCATCGATTATTTTCCAGTGTGAGGAGAAAGCTAGATGACTCACCATTACGATGAACTTTGGATGATGAAACTAAGGTGGACGAAGAAGATTAAATTGTTAA